CTGTCCAGATAAGTCACGCTCGCCGACAGTAGCTAGTTTGCCAAGGGCGTCAGCTCAACAGTTTGCCTCCCAGGGAACCTGAATAAGCTCAGCCGAAACAAACTTTTTTAGGAGCCTACGCACTTCAGTCATGTAGAGCGCCATTTTCTAGTCTAACTACCAGCTGCGAATCGCTATAGATCACGATTTGTTGTGCTTCCATTGATAAGGCCAATTTTAAGCCTACTATGAGGGCTTCGTATTCTGCCTCATTGTTGAACGCCTGAAAGTTGAATCTAAGTGCGTACTCTTGGTTGTAGCCTTCCGAGGAGGTAAGGATCAGGCCTGCCCCACATCCCTGGGCATTTGAGACCCCATCCACATATAACTTCCAGGTCGGCACATCAGGGATGTCATTATGATCTTCAACGTTTTCTTTAGGTGGCAAGGTAAACTCTACTAGAAAATTCGTCAGGACTTATCCCTTGATCGCGGTTATGGGTTTAAACTTGATGTCGAATTCGCTAAGCTCCATCGCCCATTTGACGAGTCTTCCCGAGGCCTCTGGCTTGTGCGGGACCTGCCTCAGCTGCTGGTCCGTTGGGACCTCAAAGGTATGCTCCTAGAAGTATGGCCTTAGTCTTCGGCCTGCCACTAAGAAAGCTAGCACGAGCTTCTCCATCTCTGGGTACCCCTCTTCTGCTCCTCAGAGGGCCTTGTTGTAGAAGTAGACTGGCTGCTGGACTCTCTCTTTGTCCTTTATTAGAGCAGCATTGACCAAGAATTTTGATACAGCTAAGTAGAGGGTCAAGACGTCTCCTTCTTTAGGGCTCACTAGCATAGGTAGGGAGGCCAAGTAAGCCTTAAGGGCCTGGAAAGCCTCTTTGCATTTCTCGTCCCACTGGAAGGTCGCCTTCAAGAACTTGAAGAAAGGTTGGCATTTATCGCTTGACCGTAAGACGAACTGGTTGAGCGTCGCTATCCTCCCGGCCAGGCGTTGTATTTCTCCGATGTTGGTAGGGGGTTTCATTTCGAGGACAGCCTTAACCTTCTCAGGGTTTGTCTCGATGCCCCTACTGTTGACTATGAATCCTAGGAATTTTTCTGTCGACACTCCAAAGGCGCATTTCGCTGGGTTCAACTTCATTCTGTATTGGCGCATAATTTCAAAAGACTCCTCGAGATGGTGGATATGAGACTTGGCCGTAAGAGATTTTACGGGCATGTCGTCTATGTATACTTCCATGGTCAGACCGAGCTTCTTGCAGAACATTCTGTTGACTAACCTCTAATAGGTGGCTCCGGCGTTTTTTAGCTCAAAGGCATCACTTGGTAGCAGTAGATTCCCTACTCTGTGACGAACGATGTCTTCTCTTGGTTGTTGGGGTCCATTCTGATTTGATTGTAGCCTGAAAAGGCGTCCATGAAGCTGAGGAGCTCACGACTCCAGACGTGGGAACTAGGCAAGTCAACCTATGATACAAACGACGAAGGAACAAAAGATTGTCCTCCAAAATCTATGGTTCGAGGCACAAATTGTAAAAAAAAAAAAGAAGGGATATCCTTGCAATAACTAGACAATCAACCAAGAATGGAAGAGGATCTAGGGGTTCTCCTAAGCCACCAATGGTAGAAATCCCTAAAAACCACGAAATAAAACTATCTAGCCACTACCAAGGGCCAAACAGATCTAGATGAGAAGGAAAAAGTTAACATACCTACAAGGAAGGTCGATTGGACTCAAAAAACGACGAGAATGGTGGACTCCAATAAGAAGGACAAAGACACTAGGAGAAAAATGCCCCCTCTCTCTCTATATATATAGTTTGAAGAAGACAAAGAAAGTGGAGGTAGCCGTCAAAACTGAGATTTAAAATAATTTTGGCAATTAAAAAGCAATGCATTGCATTTAATACACTAGTATGTATAGGACACATGTCACATTCTGATTGGCATGCTCTAAAAATCAAGGCGCCAAACATGTTATGTCACCATAATTACATAGCGATCGAACAATGGTAAAACATGTCTTTTTGGTTGTGTGCAATTCCTAGGAACACAATAGATAATCATGATCTAAGAGCTTAACCCCAACCAAGAGCTCAACCCCAACCAAGAGCCTTCTTAGACCTATTGCCCATGGTAAGGTTTTCTGGTGAAGTTCCATTCCTACCCCTTTTAGGTAACTTCCATGTTGGAGGTCAGTCTTAATTAGTGTTGTGGTTTTGTAGGCGTGTTCTTGTCATGGGTTGTCTTCTTCGAGTTTACTTGAAATGATGACCATAACGATTGACCTAGCCTATTCATTTTCTTTGGTATCTTCAGTTGCTCTCCCCCTACTTCTAGAAGCTTACGTTATAACTTTGGCAAAAATCCCCTGAACAGCCAAATATTCCCTAAATATTCCTTTACAATGTTGTAATATAAAGTAATGAATTACAATTTAACAGGGTGTAAGTCAATACACTACCCTTGCACCCTAGGAGCAAGAGTCGCAGTGGACTACTCCAGCTCTTCAGCAAGATGAACCATTTTAATCTTTGCATTTACTTTGTTCAATTTTACCATTCATCACACTTAATTAACAGCTCATCCATCATAGCGCTTCTCGATTTTTACACCATCAAAATCAATATACCTATTATTCATATTTGCAGATCACGCCATTTTTACATTCAAATGATTTGAGTCCTATAACGTCGCATTCCAAAAATTATCACCATTATATAGAACTAGGAGACAATATTTGTGCATGGTGTGTGTGTATTTTTTTTTTTTTTTGAAAAATGGGAATATTCTCAGTATGTCGTCTTTTATTAATCATTTTTATCAAATTTGGTAAGCATGACACACTAATTGCCCATTTCAATTTAACAAATCCCATGACAATCTTCTCAAATCTCGATCTACTCCATCAGATTGTTTCTATATGAAATGCTAGTTTTCTTCAAAAATTATGTCAGGCTTTTTATGGTTTAAAGTATCAGTCGGATGACTAATATCCAACTTGGCAACTTACGAGACAATGCCGTTACACGATTTGTATAAATCCCAAATCTCGCACGACTCATCCGAATTTATCCAACTCAATCCCTAATCGTCGAGTTACCATCACCAAATCGGTTGATACGGTTTCGTGAAATCGCGATATGACCTGAATCTCTAATCATATTCAACATTTTCTTTTAGGTTGCATAACTAGATATCACGCTGCAACGCCGCGACCGATATGCCTCAGAGCCCTCCGAATTGATGACCGATACCGCAATTTTAATTATGGACTTGTTGTGGTCTATAAAGACACACTCAATGGGCACATTCTAAACGCTTTTTCCTTCTCCCTTTTCTAACCTAATGAATACTAATATTTAGCAGAACGATAATTTGCCAAGAAAAAATAGAGAAAAAAAAATAATAAAGAAGATCTGGATCCATATTTAACCATGAGATTTACTTGAGCATTGAATACTCTCCCCACCTATGTTTCCTTTGATTATTTCTTTGTTGATGGCAAATAGATAGGCCATTTTCAGGCTCTATCGGCTCACTATTTTTTTCCAACTACAATTAACGTATTATTTACTTTCTACCAATAAGGAAAATTAAAAGATGGATGAGATGGGACGTTATAGAGTTGAGTATGATATGTTATGTTTATGTGTGTACATGAAAATTTCTAAAATACTTATCAGTGTGTGATTTTTTTTTTCTTTCAGTGGTAATTCAGGAGTCTTTAACTTACCAATAATATGATAACTAACAAATTTAGCTTGAAAAACATGAAATATATATATATATATATATATATATATATATATATATATATATATATATATATATATATATATATATATATATATTTTCTTTATAATTGTGATCAAACAACCTTTATCAGTGTGCGATTTTTTTTTCTTTCGATGCTAATTCACAAGTCATTGACTTACCCATAATACAATGACAAACAGATTTATATTGAAAAACATGAAATGTATATATTTTTGCTTTATAATTGTACTATCAAACAACATCTATCAATGTGTGATTTTTTTTTTCTTTCGGTGGTCATTCACGAGTCATTGACTTAATTACCAATAATACGATAACAAATATATTTAACGTGAAAAACACAAAATGTATATAATTTTTGTTATAATTGTGCCATCAAACACATACACTATGTCAGTGTGCGATTTTTTTTTCTTTCGGTGGTAATTCACGAGTCATGAAATAACCAATAATACGATAACAAACAGATTTAGTTTGAAAAAACATGAAATGTTTATACTTTCTTTATAATTGTGCCATCAAAATACCTCTATCAAGTGCGGTTTTTTTTTTTCTTTCGGTGGTAATTCATGAGTCATGAAATTACCAATAATACGATAACAAACAAATTTAGCTTTAAAAACACAAAATGTTTTTTTTTTTTTTTTATAAATATGTCATAAAAAAAACCTCTATCAATATGCGATTTTTTTTGTTTTGGTGGTAATTCCCGAGTCATTGACTTACCAATAATACGATAACATATAGATTTAGCAAACCTCCATCCATGATTCTGCTCTGCAGCAACTTGAAGATATAAAAACCAAGACGCTACGTCCTTCTGAACGTTTTGTTTGTGGTTAAGCGTAATAAATAATGAATCAGTTTAAATAATAGTAATAAAATAAGGTGCCTTATCAACTTGAATGAATCGTCTTGAAAAGGATGTCACAGATATTACAAGACAAAAGAAAAATCACACGTTCAAAGATGTTGCAACTTGCAACTGTTGGGAATCCCAAGAAAGAAACTGTGACTCTCCTTTGTCATAAAATCATGGGTTTTTCTTATGCTATTATGAATGTTGCAACGTAGTCTTTTGTTAGTTTCCGTCATTTCTTTTTATCAAAAACCAACTTACAACACTTTTGGTACATTAAAAATACAATGTAAAAAATTTAATCTTTGATGATACAAAGTGAGAATCTCAAAATTTTTTAATGTGCAAAATACAATTCGCCCTAAGATCAAAGAAAACTAAAAATTGAAGATTTCGACTTAATAACTCTCTCACACCGACACCAACATACACACGCACGTAGACCCAAAGAGATTTAACGAAAAGATTGCAAGTCAACAAGTGAGTTGTTGTGGGACCACTACGTGTTGGAACAACATAAAATTTCATCCACAAACAAACTTGTAGGTTGAATTTTAGAGCTCGAATCCTTTGAAGTTAGGTTGAATTTTAGAGCTCGACCCAACAAAATTGTACGAGAAGACTTGGGATTAAAATTTCATCCACAACTGAATGTTACAGACCTTACGTCTCATCAGTGGAAAGAAAGGACAGAATCCCGAAAGCAATGAAAAGAACTCCACCTGAGAGTGCAACCTGCATGAGAATCAACACGACATTGTTGTCACAAATGCTTACCGTGGCTCGGGCATGCACATGCTCACTCGCACTAGAAACCAAACAAACAAACAAATACACACAGATATATGTAGAAAGAATAAGAGTGATTACCATTCTCTCAGATATCTGAGACACCAAGTTCTTTCCTCCCAAGACTGCCAGGGTAGTGCAAAAACTTGTCCTCTGGGGAAGGAAAACAAAACTTCAACATAATCAGTGAGGAAAAAATCAAATGAATGCTCTTCCTACATGCAGAAACAGAAACAGAAACAGAAACATAGTAACAAAGCATAGCGCGGTGATGCGGAGGTCACTGAGATGGAGAAATAATTAATTCAGAATTAATGCTGGGGCAGATGACACAGTCCAGAAGACTGAGAAAAACCTGAAAGAAGGCAGAAGCCAAGGAAATACTGGCGCAGTCAATATGTTAGGCCCAAAATTTATGGTTGCACACACTACTAACAAAAGATCCAAAGAATCCAATTTATGCAACTTTACTAGCTTTGCCAGGGCTCCATCGGTTGCGGCGTCGCGAAGTGGTATCGGGCAATACGACCTAAAAAAAATATTAAACATAACGAGAGAATTAAGTCATACCACGGCGTCGCTGAACCGTATTGGCCAATTCAATGATAATAACTCAACGACTCGGAATTGACTCAAATACAATTCAAATGATTCGGCCGAGTCATGCGAGACTCAAGGTTTATACGTATCGTATGTATTGGTATTGACCGATACTTTAAACCATGATCTGATGTTAGTCAAGAGTTGATTGAGTAAAATAAAGAAAATTCATTGACCCACCAAAAGTTTATGCTAATAATGGAAATTAATAAGGTAATGTAGACCGAGATCTTGTCATCCTGAGCATAGTTCAAGGTCACAGTATGGCCACCAATTCAAAAAGCTCTGAGACATATCGATCACAATGTCACGTCGTGGTATCAGGCAATACGACCTAAAAGAAGTTGAATATCACAAGAGATTCAGACCATATCGCAGAATTGAGAATCTGTATCAGCTGATTTCGTGACAATAATTTAGCAACTTGGGGTTAATTCGGATTGACTTGGCCGAGTTGTGCGAGACTCATTGTTTATTCGTAATGTGTAAGAGAATCAACTTGGAAGCGTCAAGTCGACCGACCCGTATTAGTATCGACTGATACTTTGATTTGATTCTGGGCCTATATCATATTCAAGAAATGTCATGTATGTCTCTTGTTGAGATTGATTTATTCAGGACATGTCATGTTTGCATCGTGTTTAGATTGACTTGTATAAACCGTGAACCCAAAATTAGTATCATGATTTCTCTCAATCAAATTCACTACATATGGGGCCTCATAAATTAAAAATATACATGATTCCAAATCTAGAAAAACCAACTTAAAAAATATTTAACTCCATGATAATTTATACAACATTAGATCAGTACATGAGAACAAAATATAAAAGTATCAGACATTTTCTTTATACCACATCAATTATATGAGTTTATCGTCTCAAAATAGAGTTATTCGGACATAATTTGTCTCATTTAAGTCATAATAGTGAGTCGTATCGTTTTCCGATTCATGTTGAGTTGGCTTTGATTCATGTTGTGTGTCGTGTCATAGATTGCCACCCTTACACAGGAGGCAAGGATACTTATGATATACAAGTATACAACACCCATTCAGCAATTCAAAAATATTATCAGCACAGTATCCTTAAAAGCATCTAAATTAAAACTCTCACCAGATTTGCAGCAGCCCAACCAGCAAGAGCAGATAGAACAGTCATCACCTAAAAGTAGCAAATATTTTGTGATTGTAAGCCCTCACAATTTCTGGAAAGAGATCTGAAGTGCTGATTGTATTGTCAACAAGGGTTGTAAGAGGATTCTACAATAAATCATCTGGCCCAATATTGACTTTCCAGAGTGTAATCTGTTTTGTACATGGTCAGTTCCAATCAACTTGGAAAGAAAACTTCCGTTGTTAGCTGCCTCATTCTATTCATCAGACCAAACTAAGGCCAGGAATTTTGTGGGCATTTCGTTCGTCCATTGCTCTTCTCACACTCTCAGAATCAGAATGCCTACTGGCACCAGCAAAAATATTGGACAAAAGCACATAGTCACCACCATATTCTTTCTGCATGTCCAGTATCTTCTGCGTGACTCTCTCTCCCACCTCAATGTTTCCATGGAAGCTACAAGCACCCAAAAGCGTCCTCCAGATCACAGCATTAACCATTTCCACAGGAATATCCAAAGCCATATTTTCCGCTTCGTCAAGCCTCCCTGCACGACCCAACATATCTATCAAGCACCCATAATGCTTAATGTCTGGTACAACACCACACTTGTCCACCATTTTTTTGAAAAATTCAAGCCCCTCATCAATCAGGCCTCCATGACTACATGCATTTAACACACTCAAGAATGTAACTCGATTTGGCTTCATACATGCATTTTCCATTCTTTTAAAACTATCCGCAGCTTCTTTTCCCATTCCATGCATTGCAAACCCAGATATTATTGACGTCCACGACACCACGTTCCTCCTCTCATCAGATATATCCTCAAAAACTCGAATTGCACTCTCTACGCACCCACATTTTGCATATGCATCAATAAGAGAATTCATAACACGAATATCAGACGCATTAAACCCACTTTTGTCTCCATAAGAATGGATTATTTGGCAAGATTCAAGGCGCCTGAGATTCCAAATAGCCGGAAAAACAGCAAGAATAGTTACTTCTGTTGGTTTAATTCCCTCATTCACAACCATTCTCCGAAACAAGGCCAAAGCTCCATTATAGTGGTTCATCCGCGTGTACCCATCAATAAGACCAGTCCATGAAACCACATTCTTTATTGGCATCACATCAAAGAGATATTGAGCAACACCAAGCTCACCCCACTTTATGAAACCCGTAATCAAAACGTTCCATGTCACCGAGTTTCTGTCAGGCATTTCATCAAACACTTTCTGAGCTGGCTTCAAATACCCACAATCAGCATACATGTTAACCAAAGCAGTTTGCACGTAAACGTGGAACTCGAAGCCTGCTTTGATAGTGAGACCATGGAGTTGAATACCTATTCTGGGTCGCTGTACATTAGCGCAGGCTTTTATAAGGAAAGAGTAAGTGAAGCTATCAAAAGAGATGGTTTGGTATTGGTTTTGGTGTTGGTGTTGTATGTGTTTGAAGAGTAAGAGAGCTTCTTCAGGGACGTGACTAAGTGAATAGTGGCGGAGCAGAGTGTTAAAGATTGTCAAGATTGGGGTTGTGGTGGATAGACCTGAGAGTAAGTTGGTGGTGATTAGTTGAGTGTGGACTTGTTGAATGGCTGGTCTGTTGTGGTGTCTGAATAAGAGAGAAAGCAAGTGGTAGCAATGCTTGTGCGTCATTTCCTAGGAAGCACGGATACTCCAAGCAAACACATCAAACAAAGTGCGAAAATAGAACCTGAAATAGCCATAGCAAGTACACAACTATCAACCGACCACTGAAAATTAACACCAATCCAATCAATAGCAGAAGCCTCACATGAACCGGCAACAGCAATGGCAGAGCTCCCCATAAGTACCCACATACCCTAATTTCTTCCAGATTTCAATTACAACTCTAGGACCTATGGTCGGAGCGAAACCAAAATGTTATTGCCAATCTGCCGAGATTTAGGAAATTTAGAGAGAATCTAGGGGAGAGAGATGACCGAAGTGCAGAGAGTTTTCGCCTTCAAGAGAAATGGGAAGAAAAGGGCGATAAAAAAATAAAAAAGATAGAAGGCTTTGGCAATTGTAGACACCTTCTTAGTAAGGAAAACAATACGGGTTATTCCCGCTTCACAAATATTCATTCTCATTTTATTTAATTTTTTATTATTAAATTATTAAATTTATTCTTTCTATATCCACTCTATTAATAACTAAATTCACTCACATTTATACACCCATTTTAAAAAAAACAAGAACAAAACAAAGAAAAAATAAAAATATTAACATGTATCTTACTGAAAAAATTCATACAACAAACATGAAATCAAATATAGAATTATATTAAAAAGTAATACTAACACGTATTTCACTGAAAAAATTCATATTGTAAAAATATTTTTGTAAGTGCATGAGATGAGATAGAAAATAAAATTCTAATTATAACAAAATATAAAGTAGCTTTACTTATTAAATAGGTGTATATAACATGGAGTTGACTTAATTACTAATAGAGTAAGTATAAAAAGGGGTGACTCTAGTAGTTTCATAATAAAAAAATAAATGGATTAAGAATGGAGATTTATGGGAGTGGGAATAGCACTCAAACAAAACACACTTCGGTATGGAGAACCAAAAAAGTGAGGTAATGGTTGGTTTGTGTTTACAATTTTTTGTTCTCAAAATTCTAAAAATAAAGAAAATATGTTTGGTTAGATTTTTTTAATCTCTAATTTTCATTAAAAAGTGAGAATTGAGATGAAGTTTTAGAGAATAAATGTTGGGTGTTTTGGCCAAATTTGGGAATCGAGTTTTTGAAAAAACAATACTATAAAATTCAAATAAAATTCAAAAAATTATATCTCAAATGCATATCACTTCTTATATGAGTAGATTCATTAACTTTTACAATAAGACTCACTCACCCAACATTCATTCATGAGATAGTATGCATTTGGATTTCAACTTTTGGATTTTATTTGGGTTGTGTAGAATATTTGGCCGAGAGTACTCTTTTTAGAACTTATTTGGCTTTAAATACCACAGTCAGACTTATACTCCATTAAGTCCTCTTTTTCATCAAATTATTTTCATTTCGTACACATTTCAAATTTTTTTTTGCATTACCTAATTACCCCCTATCATAAATATTTCTTATCATTATTAGTTTCAATACTTTCAAATATAACAACTCAAAAATTGAGAATTGTGACAGCATTAAAATTATTTTTCTATTATATATATATATATTCAACAAAAAAATAATAATATCAAACAGTAACATGTTCAACAAAAAAATAGTAACATCAAACAATAACATGCTCAATGAAAAACTTAATTACAAATTTAATTATTGCAATAGAATGACATCATATGTAAATACTTAAAACTATTGTCTTGTCCACAAATTTAATTGATCATGTTTGTACCTTGGTGATTTTTAGACTTGTCACTGTTAAGATATAAGTCACTTTTTGTATTTTACTCAAAATTATTGAACAATGTTGATATTGTTCGAAAGGGGTGTTTTTATAAGAAACTTTATGAATTATTTTTTAAAAAATAGAGGGTTCAAATTTTATTGATTAACAATTTTTCTTAATTTTTTTAATTGATTTTTTTTTATTATTATATATTGTCTTCAGACATAAGAATTTATTTGTTACGTAGTATCTTTACGTAGAGACAATTGCTAGTAAATATATGTTATTGTTTCCTAGAGTACATAAATGACAAATCTATGCAATCTCGGTGCATATTCATGCAATCCTAGTGCCAATAAGCATCTCAAGGCAAACTTTCCAAAATTGTCCTAATATCCCAACAACTAATTTGTCTCAAAATAAAATTTAAGAATTTTTATCCTGAGGGTATCATTAGAATTTACCATATGTTGAAATAAATGCACTTTGCATGTATTTCTGCATAACGTATACAAAAGAACCTCCACTTGGCAAAAGCTCAAGAAACCTCACATCACACGGCCTCTTGCACCTCTATAAATACCGAAGGGACCCAAAAGATTAGAGCACCTGGCTTTCTTTAATTGCTTCTCTCTCTCTCTCTCTCACTCTCTCTTTCCATGGCTCAAACAAAACTACTCCTTTGCACTCTTTTCATAACATTGGTTTTATCCCCAGAAATTCCATTCAGTGAGGGAATGGATTTGAACTTAGGGAACAAAAATGGATTCCCTAGCCTCCAATCTCACAACCAGAACCCTGAGAAGGTGACCAAAAATACTGTTGAACCCAATATCAACTTGCATGGTGACAGCACAAACAAAGAAGCATACGTGCATCAGGCTGTACGTGTATCTACAATACCCATGCCGCCGAGTCAGGCACTAGCCAAGTCTCGGTCACAACCACTGGTTCAGGTGGAGGCCTTCCGACCCACAACACCGGGTCACAGTCCCGGTGATGGTAATTCCCTTCAAATTTAGGGCTATCCTGGCTAGGGATAATGCAACAACCTTAATATACATGCTTACAATATATGGTGTCTGAATATCTACAAAAATAAAAACTTATCTGGATGTACAATCCACCTTTGCCTTCATGTAATAAAATGGGATTAGTATATGATCTCATATCTGTTTGGATAAGTAATTTTGTGGGTTTTTTTCTCCTGTTTGGATAAGTAGTTTTGTGGGTTTTAAATTATTTGGTTTCCTTCTATTGGAAACATAGTTAAGGACGAATGAGAACAATGTTTGAAAGGTTGGAGAGGAAGTAAAAAGACAGAGAGAGAATGATAATTTGCTTTAACAGTCCACTAAGCTGCGAAATTATCGAACCAACTAAGTTTAAATCTGGTAAGAACTAACTATTTTTTCCACAGACTGTTTAATGGACCTTAAAACGTTGTCTTACTTTGTTCGCAGAGGTTGGCCCACTACAAGAACAAGGGTTTTTGGGTCGGCAAAAAATCAACTTAAAAGATCACGTATTCGAGTCGGCAAATTGGGAGTCGTAAGACATAGGTGATGCAAAAGATTTTGCATTGACAATTGACCGTCGCAAAAATTTTTGCGTCGGCTAAAACCAACGCAAAAGTACTATCGCAAAAAAAAGTTAGATCCAACACTTTTTTTTTTTTGTATCAGGAATTTTCTGTCACAACGAACACCATTCACAACATTTTAAATCTATCGCAAAAGATATTATTTGTCACAGCATGGGACCGTCGCAACAAACTCATTTACTACAGTTTTTAATCCGTTGCAAAAGATATTGTCTTATTTGGGAAGTATCGATATGTTCTATGGTTGGTAATGAAATATTATACCCAACTGGGGAATTTTAATTTGGTTGACATGTCAAAAGTGTTGGTTTCAAGAAAATAAATTCAATTCAACTTAATTGGGCTTAGCTCAAAAAAAATCTCATCCCAACTATTTGATGATGATATGCCAACTTTTTGGTGAATCTGAAAGGTGTTTTCTATTTTGGAAATAAACTAAAGGTTGATTTCGGTTAATCTAGTAGGAATTTGGATTTGTAACACAAAAAAAATTGCATTTGTGGTGAATGAAAGGGGATTTTAAATGGAAATCAGATCAAGAACCCAAGTTTTAGTATCCCAGTCTCTCTTTGGGACCTGTATGATTGTATCTCATTTAGACGCTATCACTTTTCCCCAGTCAGAATAGACGCCGCCGTTTAAACTTATTACCAGCGTTTATGCAACATTTGTTGGTGTTTACAAACCCTAGCAATTCCAAAAATTCTTGTAGTGTTTGCAACTTGCTTCAGCAATTAAATTACGAATTATTTTAGCTCCTTCAAGAATAGCATCGGGCCATGTACATGCCTGCACAGCAATGTCGAGCCCGGTTTGTCCAGTGAGTAGCACTCTGGCCCCTTTTCCAACAAGTAAAATTGATCAATTTTGGCAAACAGAGAGGAAAACAATTAATATCACTATTGGCGATCTTTTTCAAACAACGCCTTCTTTTTTGTCCGACTAAATAGGCCCGACACAGGAAGCTGGCCCTCCATCTCGGCCCATCGTCACACAAAGATGAAAATTTTGATATTTTTATAGGGAAGTAAATTAGTTAAATTAGATAATAAAAAAGAAATAGCCCGCTTAAAGGTCCCTTAAGGTCAACTCCTATTGGAGACTCGTTCTTTACCCATTAGGGTCAGCCTTATGGATAACCCGTTCATGGCCTCCCTTTCTTTGGGTGGATTGGCCCAACCTAAATCCGACCCGAGAGAGAGAGAGACCAATATATAAAGGCTAGCATGTATTAAACAAGATACAAATTTTGCCAGATAGGTAGGATACAAGAGTAGCAAATCCTCAATCCAAACTCGCAAACTTAGCCACAAAACATAACTCACAAACATTTACTCAGACGATACTAAGCATTTACCAACCAATCAGAACACTTCTTAATTATTGCATAATATATATAGTTACTACGAAAGGGCATGGCCTCTGTGTCTATGGTTTGAGAAGATGTGCATCAATATCCTTAAGGACAGTAGCTGCAAAGTCCAAACATTTTCTGGGCGTAGCGACATCCTCATTGAGCTTCTCGTAGTCTGTACTCCATTTCACCAAGCTGCCATCGCCCTTTGACGTAAATTGAGCGATGGACTTGAAGCTCTTGTAATCCTTCATGACATCTCCTTCAAATATGTTGAAAATGATAGTCTTGTTCTCCTCATCTATGGCTTCAATTGTTTCCTTTGCAGTCGCAGCTTTCTCGTCTTGAGAATCACAAGAAAATAAGGGTTTCTTAGTGAATTACTTGACATTTCTATCTATTGAATGCATGGAAAATACATGAGATTGAAAACCTTAAAAAGAGTTGATTTTCAATTGTTAGTTAAAAAAGGCCAACAAATGTGCAGTCTTAAAAAAAGGACGCTAGTTAAAAAACAATCATTCGATTTTGTTTCTTGCTGTTCTTTATTATCGGAAATTGAGTTTATCTATCTGCCTAGTTTTGGTAGAAATTCCCAGTGCAATTCATAGTAGTTACACAAACTCCAGTTATTTCCTATAGTTCATTTGTAAAAAATAGTTGTGCCTTGCTGATTTAATGTCTCTATTGTTGTTCAAGGTCGATAATAAGGTGGAAAAGACCATCGAACCCGATGATTATTAATAATATGCCTTATCATTTTCTTTTTTTTGAAACATTCACCTAGAGTGTGTTTGGATCGTGGGTTAAAGGAGGATAACATTAGCAAGATACGAGAAAAAATTATGTGGGGCTCATGTATTCTGTGTTTGGTAAGTAAAAAAGTGCACTAAAAATTTTACTTGGGTTTATCCTAATCCAATTTGAAAAGTCAATTTTAACCTACTTATATGGGTTAGATGGAACCAAATGAGGGGCTGAGATATTTTTTCCACAAACCGGATAATCGGATAAGTGTAGAAAATGACATATTTACCCAAAGCCAATAAGTCATGAGTCTTACTCTTACCAACGTCTTTTTCCATCCACGTATAACTCAGTACGTATATTTATATTACTATTCTATCTAGATAAATTATGCACACAAGACTATAAATATTTATAAAAAAAAAAATTCGGAAATTTCTTACTGCTCAACGAGACAGTTCATAGTGCCCATCTAATTTAAAACCCAGAAAACCCTGAACAGCTGTGAACATGGACATGAAGGAAGATATTGAGGGAACTTTTGGGGGCTTTGTTTGGATTTTTTGTGGAGTGGAAAACCCAGAAACGAATTGGTGGTTCTAGCATTGTTCTTTGTTTCACCATGGACAACCCACACATAAAAAAAAATAGTTTGGAATTGGTTAGAGACTAATTTATAGACCAAGCATGGTACTAGATTGGATAAATTAGGGGCATAACACTGATAACAGTCGGTGAAACTATATCATATCACCATTATCCATGGGATCCACAATGTGCTATGTACTACCCAAACACTAAACATGACTGGATATACTTATTTAAATCCTAACCAACTGAAAGATGGATGAGTTTAGTTTGGATAGGAAATAAAATTTTGAAGATCTCTAATCCAGTCCAACTCTGCCATCCAAACTCACCCCAAAAGTATCATTGTCATCTAAAGTAAATAATTTAAAGAGTGAATAAATGGAAGATACACGAATACTACAAGAAAAGTTTCTGAAGTAGGTCTCAAAACACTTCTAGATTGCAAATTATCCTTATTCTCAGAGTTTGAACAAAACCGCATTAAGGAAGAAATGTAATTAGCAACATCGAAGAACTTTAAAAAAAAAAAAACTTCCTGGACCAACCCTAGACACTCTAAGATCCTTTTTTAAAACTGCTCCTCCACATTTGGAGTATTCTATTTTCACGCAATTCACAGGGCGAAAATTTGAGTGACTGAAGCTAAAGTAGCTACTTTCGAAATAACAGAAAGAAAAGCGACCCCAGGGAGAACTGTTGCAGGTTGAAACCTAAGGGCTATTCAAAGACATAAATGACAGTAATATAACAATCCATTGGGTTATATATATGACCTTAGTGATATAATTAATAGGTAAAACTTAAACAAAAGATTTGAGCAACACAGAGACATGAACCATTCCCATAAACCACGTAGAACAGATATTGGGTATGTGGTGTGCTCTGTCCCTGAATATCTGATAAAGTTTATCTGCAGAAGACTTTGACTCTATTTCAATCTCCTCCTTACCAACTAGAGCCATATATATATTTTTTTCTAATCTTGTGAACACAGAGAAGCAAAATGACTGTAAGAACTTCCAAATGCAAGAGGCAAGGTTGGAGAAAATACAACAATTCTTGGCATTTTTATAGAAGAGCTCCATTTGCAGTAATGCTATCCAAATTAAAACCCAAATTTTCCATTGCACAAGGATGTGTATCACAACTATCATTTTGTGGGTCCCAAAAAATCAAGTTTTTTTTCACTTAATGTGTGGTGTAAATACATTTGGGATGAAAATTTTGAATTTTGATTTGAACAACATAGCATTCCTCTTTGTATTTTCCCAAGGGTGATGCTATACAAGCAGAAAACTTGAATAGATTTTTTTTTTACAGGGCGAGGGGGTGTCCGAGCCTCCTTCGATTTTTGTTGTATGATCCAAGTTAGATGTACATAATCATAGCACACATGTACAGGACTATCTCTGTCGACTTAAAAAGTATTGAGACACATCCATCATGAAATCGTTAAACGATATTACGTGATATACATAAAATGTTAGGTAATAAAAGTTAGACACGGAAATAAATTTTAGATTGTATTGGGTCGTCATTTAATGTTGCTCTGTGTATGTTGTTTTCAAGTGGTTCTTTAGCTATTCCGGTGACCCCTTCGCATTTGGCTATGCTTATAATTTGTTTGGAAAGTCATTTGGTTTAGGATTTAGCATGGAAATGGATATAGTAAGCCTATTTTAGCCTGATGGAGCAACAATTGCCGAAAGGGTACATTGTTTATCTTATGAATTGTTAGAGCACTTGTGGCTGTTACTATCATCATATAATGTGCCACACTTTATTAGTTAATCAGCAACACTTTATTATTGGAGGTTTGAGAAAACACTTAATCATGTTCTTGCTGCCCAAAAGGATCTTTGAAAATCGGCAAGAAGACAGAAATTGGGGCAATCTTTGAAAAATATAAGAGTGTTCAAAATGGAATTAATAAGGTAGTTAGCGATGTGCTCACCGATAAAAAAGTTAGTTAGACGCATCAAGTTTATGATTTTGTTAAAAATATCGATACATAATTTTAATCATTTGAAGCATAAACATGAGTGAAAGCCTTGCTTAAGGACGAGAAAATAAAGGGAATATATCTTAGTATACCAACTGTGCAGATATTTAACCCCAAAGGGTAGCTCGAGTGGTAGTCGGCCACTTCATAGGTGCGTTAAGTTGGCATTTGTCAAAGGTTCGATACACCACATGATGAAACTACTCATTGGGGTCACCTCCACTAGATTTAACCCTATGAGAGGAGAGGAGCCTTTGCTCATGGACTCAAGTTGACTACCAACCACAGGTTTAAATGGGCTTTGTTGGTGAGAGGTTCCTGGGTTAAAAACTATGGAGATATTTGACAATTAAACATATAGTAAAAAGGTGGGAGAGAATGAGTAAACATAGACTAAGAGTTGAAAAACAACAATTTCAAAAAAAAAATAAGGTGAGTTTTATAGAATAAAAAGTTGCAACTATGTGGAAGGTGCACTTGCCCTTAGCGGAGTCCATGACCGCAAATTGCCAATATTCAATCATTTTGAAGATTTTGCTGATTCTATAGAGGATTTGCTTGGAAGATAAAATAATAGGATTTGATTCTACAATAGCTTACTAGTTTATATTGCTTAACCTAAAGTCTAAACTAGCTAGAGTCTAATTAGCTACAGCTAGTTGTTTAATGATTCAAACAAAAGAATTAAGTAACAAAAATATTACAAAAAGGATTCCACCTAGGATTTGGCAATTAGTGGTGTCATGTCAAATTCATTTTACTTCTACACGGTGTTGTGTCCGACTTTACCAATCTGTATCCAATTCATTTATAATTATATATATTCGAGTTTGTGTTATGTATAAATTATGTATAATTAATTCATTTATATATTAAATGGGTCTAATAAGGAAACCCAATTATGAACTCAACTCGTTAATGATTTTATCAATTTTATATGTTTATCTTCATCAAGGTCAGATTAGTGGTTACATGGGATTAATTAACTTTATCATTTGAGTCACTATCAAGTACTAATTTTGTCAATGTTCAGATTCTATGCTTTCTGTCCTAAAAGATTTCCTATTGGGATTACACTATTTTATTTATTTATTACAATTTTCTCAAAGTTATATATGGTCTTGGTAAATTTATTAATTGAAGTTGTGTATGACTTTGTGGAGTTCTATATAGATTCTCCTTATCAAGGAAATCCTTCTCATTTACTCAATTAAAAAAAAAAAAGGCATCTTCTAACATTTGGAAACACGTGTTAACTCGTAAATTCAAGTATTTTTACAATATTAGAGCAAGATATGTATAGTGTATGAGTATGACATACGCTATTAGGGGTGTGAAACTATCGAAAAATTCGACACTGGTACTGACCGGAGTCGGGACTCTGACTCTGATTCTAACTTTAATTAAATAATAGTTTTAAGCAAATTATAAATTATATGATAAGTTGTTATGTTTTGAAATAAAACCACATTTAAAAGTCACATTCATGACATTTTATTGATTTTGCAACAAATTCAACAAATATCTAACTATCGTAACTCAATTATGCTCAATTTCACTAAAAGTAAACAAATTATGTATTATTCGAGAGGAGTCGCCCACAAAGCACAGTGTCATTCACATTACGAGCTCCATTGCCCCTCAATTTAAACCTGTGAAAATTAATCTAATGACTTAAAAACGGTACAGCCCAGTTAGGCCATTGCCTAGGGCCCCAACTTGGAAGAAATATTTGAGGTTTTAAAATAAAATAAACAATGATATATAATTAAAATTTTAAAATATAATTTAAATACTCAATATATTTTAATCATTGAATTAATAGTAAGTGTTAACTTTAAACAAAATTCATTATTTATCTAATGTATTTGGTTCTTAAATTAAGTGCATCTAGTATTATTGTAAAATTTTTAGAACCTCTTTCAAAAAAATTTAGAGTCTTAAAGTTCAACTTATTTTGTTATCCCACCCAATATTTATATTATGTATATTTTCACTTTACAGTCTTATTATTAAAATCAATTATGTATC